ATCAAGCCTAATAACTGTAACATTAACACGCCATGCACGACCATGTGATTTCAGCTGTATTCTTCTTGATTGGAGAGTACCCATCTGTCACAAATAGAGAAAAAATAACAAATTTATTCACATCGAAAAGTATTACATTGTAGAACAAAATTAATACTTTCAATATTCAATAACAAGAGAAAATTAATGTCTTTAAGAATTGCAAAAAATAAACAAATAGTTAAATGAAAGTTAAATTTTTTACGTTTTTTACATATGAAAGAGGATAAAAATCAAATGCCGATCAATTGATCCTGTTGGTTTCAGCAGATGCCCCTTTCCCATATTTCCCATTTGCACTGTCTGCATTATACCAAATTAATTAATAATTCCACTAGACGCTAACTTGTAGTTAAATTAATTATTACCCATGACTCTCTTCCTAATTACTAATTCATTTTTTTCAATTTATGGGTCATTTTAATATACTTAAAAATTTAGCAAAGAAAATAGTCAATAACAAATAAATATGAAATTTTAAAGCTAAGCTTCAGCTTTTAGCACTTTATACTGACTTAATCCTTTTTGCACTTACAGCTAAGATAAAATGGTCCTCACCCAATCTAACTGGTTAATACGGCCTGGGGGATGACATCGACATCATTAAAGCAAATGAAGGATCATTTCATTCATCTTCTGCTGCTATCTTATCACCGTTCAATAGTTAATGAAATTGAAAGCAATGGAAGTTTGCACTTTCTTTGATAAATATGGTTAACGGCTGTTTTAAAGATGTTGTTTTCACATCTTTAAGACTGCCCTTTAATGAACTTTAATATTTATGTTACAGATGAGTTTTTTTTTAAAAATATTATTGCAGATATTTTGTAAAAAGAAATGTGCGAGCATAGAATTTAAACCTATGATTAATCATAAACAAGTCTTTTATGAAAATTATATTCTTTTAAGCTTCAAAAATAGTGTAATTTGCTGATTTATTTGTTTTTTTTTTCTCTCCGTGTGACTAATTTGCAAACAATAATATTGGAACGTTTTTTGAACCTTAGTATTTTTGAGGGGCGATTGCTGGTAAATATCCAAAAGTTTAGAACACACGACTGTAGCCAATCCAATGTTTTTCTTCAGACTGATTTTTATTTCAACATTTGATTTTTATTTCAACATACAAATTGATTTTTATTTCAATATTAACCCTTTGACCCAAATGGGACACCGGTGTCCCTTTTGTAAATTTTTTAAATATAATGAATAAAAATACATTTAATTTAATAAAAATACATTTAATTTAATAAAAATACATATTAGTATGTAATAAAAATACATATTAGAATTTAATAAAAATACATATTAGAATTTAATAAGTATAGAAACATTCCAATAGTTACTAAAAAAAATCTGTTAGAGTTTCGGAATTATATTTGTACCAATATATAAAATCCAACAAAAACAAATTAGTCTCAAAAATTTTTTTTTTCATTCAGATTCAAAAAATTTATCAATAATTGATTTTTGAAATTAAAGAAATTTCAACGATGAGTAACTATTTATCTTAGATCTAAATAACTGCAAATAAGTGCTAATCTGAAAAATTATTGTTGATATTATTGAATTTTTGTCATTATAATTATTTTTATTATTGAGCAATTGTTTTTAAATTGATTACATTTAATTTCTAATTTTTATATTAATGGGGTAGGTGCCGCGGTTCTTATTTGTTCTTTAAAATAGTTTTAAATTTTCAGATTAGATGTAGCTTTTATCAGTTGTAATCATTTTCTGGCGCCCTGTCCTTGCAGATACAGTTCTTAGAACTAGAATTTATTTGGGTTCTTTTTTTTAAAATAATCTAAGTCCAGATAGTATTGGAAATGGAAGACAACGACTTGTCGGTATGAATACCGTAATTAAATGTTTGATTTTTAAACATTTCCTCGTGCAATAATTTTTAACGGAGTCATATCAGAGTCATTTTAAAAGATGCAGTGTCAGAGGCAGTATTACATTACAAGAAATAATTGAAAAGTAAAAAAAATTTTACCGTTTACGAACGATACTAAAAGTGATTTAATAATTATAAAGGCTCCACAACTTTCTTAATTTCTTTTCACTCATCATTGCGTTTTTTTAGTCGATATTTTTCAAAAAGTTAAGATTATTTTGTTTATGAAATATATGATTGTTTTAAATATATGATACGCATTTTGTTAAGATGTTAATCGTAATAAAATAAACGATTAATTTGATTCGAAAGATTCAACAGTACTCGAAAAAAATTAAACTTTGGAAAAAGGAATGAGGGACATAATTTAAATAAAGAAAAGAGAAATAATTTATAAATACTCGTCAACCATAACTTTATGTCATTATATCAAATCAAATAGGAAATGGTCTTTCAACTCTCTTAAACTGGAACAGAATTAACTAAATGAGTTCTTAAACTGAATAAAGTTTTTTTTGTTTAAATTTTAATATGAATGTTAAGATATTATATATGGCAAGATATAATCTCTCTTTTTTTTCACTTTCGATATCTTTTAAAGCAGAAAACTTTCTACAACACTGGATTAATAGCATTTATTTAAAACACAAATATTGAAGACCAATTAAAATTGCAAATAATTGGAATTTCGGAAAAACGCACGTGTTAAGTTCATAAATAAAAAGAGTCTTTCAGCACGACAAATTTTAACTTGGTTGCATTGCTGGCGACAGCAGAGTGCAGAGTATTTTTTAGTGCTATTTGTTGCTTTTACTACAAGTTATGGGTAACTTACGAGTTTTTGATGTGAAAAGGTAAAGAGACTATACGTTTAATATATTTAATAATTAGTTAATGCACACAAATTTACGTAAATGATGTTAGATTTTAAATTTTTTTTTAAACTTTTAATTTAATTTTCACTTATTTTACGAACATTTAGAAAATGATGAAAGTTCTAGTTTCTAACTCAAGTAATAAACATACTTTGCAATATGAGTTGGAGCACGAACTTGAAAATAAAAATATGTAAGAAAAAATATGTAAGGTATTTCCTTGTCAGTAAAAAATTTTCAATGTTGAGGTCATTTATTTATTTTATATTTTCGCCATAGTTGCACGCAACTTTTCCAGATGGTAAGACATTAAGAGCCCTTTTTTGTAAGGCTTAAAGAAAAATCGATGATTCAGAACGATATTCCGTTTTCATCACGGTATTCTTTGAAAAGGGAAGTTCGAAAACAATTTATTTTAAATGTTTCTTTCAAAATTCATTTAAATTAAAAGTACGCGGATATGCTTTAAAAGGACACAATAGCGTCGACTTGAGTCAATATTTACACCGTGAAGAAAAGCACGGTCAAAACCACCAGAATACGTTAAAATTTACCGTGTTTTTAGCTTAACAGAGATACTAAAAAGCTCGGTAATTTTCACCGAAGCTCTTTCGTAATGATTTTGGTAAAATTAACAATAAAATATGCATTTTCCATGTGTAATAAAATTTGATAACTGTGGTTAAAATTTGGTAATTTTAACATGATTGGTAATTTTAACATCGAAACCTTTTATTCGGTTAAATTTACTTTTATGTTTTCTATTTTTCACTAAACGTGTGGTAATAAGAAATATAGTTTTTGAAAGCAGAACTTCCGGTAAACTGCTACCATATGAACTAAAGAATTACCAAATGAATGGTTTAAAATTTAAATGCAGCATATTTTAGTTCTATTTACTAGAATTATTTTTTTTTTCTATTAGAAAAGTCAATAATATAAAATACGATTTTACCAGATATTTTTTTCTCCGTGTACTGAAAGATGCTATTTAATTATGGCAAAACACGCTTAAACTTTCCTTTTTTTATCATTAAAATCTTTTTTTCTAAAAATAAATAAATAATGCTAATTAACAATTTTTTATTAATTTTAAGTGAAATTTTCATGAAACATTTAAAGCGATAGTGTTGTACGGAAAGTTATTATGAGCATTATTGAAGATATTTTAGAGGTAATATTTTTAGATCATATCGGTTATTTGTTCTCAGTGTTAATGCAACAGATTACAAAACTGAATAAGTAGGTCTTTATGCATAAAAATCTGATTTGATTGCATTAATACACAATGCAGTTAAATAGTCAAAAATCAAATGGTTTTTTAGAACGGTGGGAATTTTTTTTTTTTTCTCTATGTTTAGAATGCAAGATTTATCCCATATTGAACTTCAAATATAACCTCTAATTTCGAAGTTTAAATATGAGCGCAGCCCAACTTATTTTACAAGGCATTACATGGTTTTCATTTTCTGACAACAGTATTTTTTGTCTGCAACTCAGACAAAAATTTCATTTTTATATAAGTCTTCGTTCAATCTTAGTCTGGAAGAAGTGGGCAACTTTTGATACGATAAGTACTTTGGTTTTTGGAAAATAGTATTGCCCACGAAGACATTTTCTTAAAAAAAATAAATAAATAAATAAATAAAATTCGAAAATAAGTTCTCAACGGTTTTATTTCCTAAACATTTAGATTAAATTACAACGCTCACACGTTTGGAGTTTAAATGAAATAATTTTCCTAAAAAAAAAAAGAGTTAAAAAATTTAAAAAAATATTTTTTTTAACCAATTTTGCTTTTAAAAATCTATGAAACTAGTTTAAAAAAAAGAATATTCTATTTTTGCAGTCTTATTGTATTAATTCGCTTTTCATGAAAAAGGGAAAGAAAAAGATGAATTAGAAAAATAAAGGAAGATAAGAAATAAAAGAAGGGAAAAGAAAAGAAATGTATAATTTCGAAGTTGAAGTATCAAGTAATTCAATTTTCTTGCAGCTAATTTCACTGCTCTATCACAACAAACATATTAACTTAACATTTTAAATCTATTAATTTTTTAAAAATGCCGTTAAATCATATCAGTAAATAACAGCGCCACCGCTTACCGGAACACGTTCTCCAGTCGCGTGATATTGTGTACGGGAAAGGAAGAGTGACGTCATAAGTCGGGCACGTGAACCAATGGAAGAGCAACAAACTATGCAGTCAGAACAATTCTAAAGACGCAGCTAAGAGCACGCGTACGAAATGTGCTCCTGAATTCATTTGACGGAAAAGCAGTGCACGTTGTGTTTAAATTTCCCGCAATCTCTTATTTTAGTGAAGTGACAGTTTGATTCGAACAATATTGCAAATCGTTTGCTTGAATTTTTTCTCGTTTGCTCCACCAAAAGAATTTTTTAATGTTCTAAATGGATACTATGACGTGGGAGGAACCCCTGGCTCATAGGATGAAAGTCGAAAGGTAATGGAATTAATTTAAAACTAAATGATTTTTATTCATTGCAGAATAACATATGGGAAAGGGTACCATTTGCTTTTTAAATTGCAAGGTCAAACATTAATATAACTTGAAAAAAATGTTTAATTTAAAGATAATCATATTTGAAATATTCTTGTTATGCCCGAATTTTCGGAAGTTCAGTTGCAAGAAAATTAAAAATAAAATGCATATATTTCAGAATGAGTTTACAAAAATTTCAGAATTTATATTTTCATACGCAATGGTGTGACAAATATATAATATTGCGGAGATATATTTCTATACAATACATATTTGTTATTTCTTATAATCAAAAATTATGCTATCATTTTTCAAGACGAAATGATTTATTTATTTTTAGTTTCTATGGATGGGGGAATTTAATTTTATATACAATAAAAAAATTCCTTCTAAAAATAAATCAAGTATTCAAAAGACAAATAAATTCTATTTTAATAGCATTAAAAACTTAATTTTTTGAATGCTACCAAGATTCATTTCCAAAACATAATTGTAAAAGTAAAATAAAAATTTTTAGAAAAAATCTTTCATGCTATATATATATTGCAAAATTTTCAGTCTAGCTTTTTTTTTTCTTTTTCAAAAATAATATGGCTGAAAGCATAAATATGTTTTATTGAAGAAAAATCGTGTAAAAAATTTAAAGACTTCTATATCTACTGATTTAAAAAACGGAATGCGTAATTAACTTTGGTTGAATGCCCAAAATCACTTATAACTTTATTCTTTTGCCTTTTTTTTCTTCCAAAAACATGGTCATGTTCCTTAACACTGAACATACCATGACCGTTTTAGAACTTTTGCATCGAAAATGCGCTTATCATCTTATCGTTTTTGCACATTTGACTTCATAAATTTTTCTGACAATTATATACAGTTAATATTCTATTATTATTATTTTTTGTATTTTGTTTGTTTCGAATAATACTTGTCGTTTTCCTATTTCTACCACAACCGGTCATTTGACCAGGAGAACAATTTATCACTTCATAAGATTATCGGATCAGAAATTACGATGTAATGAGTGTTCAACGTACTACATTCGATTAGTTGTACATTTCTGCAGAGACTGTAGCGTAGTTAGTTCAACCAGAATAACTGTGAATTCAAATTTCAAGAAAGTACCTAAATTTTTAGATTGGCTTATATTTTATTTTGATAACTTTACTTCATTTCTAACTAACTGTTAGTTTTTACCCAGAAAAATGTCGAAACAATCAAGACGGCACACGTACTTAGAAGAAATAATATTAATTATAAGAATAATTATAATTCTTATATATTCTTATAATTATAAGAATTATAGAAATAATAATAATTAGAAGAAATATATTTGTGTAAAATGTATAATGGAAACACCCTGTATATGTAAAAAATGCGTTGATCAATGAATTGAAAATTCTTATTTGTGTTTGCGATTCATAAAAATTGGCAATATACAATTTCGTTTAATTATAATAAAGTTTTTTTTTAGTTTATTTCCTGCCTAACATCCATATTGCATACATTCAATCAAGAAACATAAATTCCGGTCATGTGACGGACTATGGTAGGAATAGGTATTTATTAAGTGTTGGTATGTTTAGTGTTAAAGTATACTTTTTCAAATCCTGTAAAGCTTTATATCATTCTTCCTACTAAGTTAACGGTTTCTATTACTTTATCTTCGCGATGTCATTTTGGCCTTTAAATACCAATTAAATATTCAATTTGCTATTGCTGAATGTTCTTAAAAATTGTGGCAACAGGAAAAATCGCTTGACATTTGCACTAAGAAAAATAAAATAAAAATTCTGAGATTATCACACATAACCGTGTTAGTTGATTAAATAAAAATTCTATTGTGTCTAGTAATTCTTTTAAGAATTGATTACATTTTTGTTTCATTTATTAAAAAAAAGTTTTAATGTTGGAATATGATATCTAACAATATTCATGTCCTTTAATTTTCGAGGCCGGATCACATGTTTTTACACGTGTTTGGGCGGGTTTGGCTATCATCCAAACGCACCACAAAATCGAATACGTTTTTTTGTCATGGCCACGTTTTCCCCAACGTGTTATTGTAATGAATCATTTCCTCTTTTATTGGTAATAAATTCCACGTTTTCTAAAGAGAGACAATATGAAATGTAATGAAATTAGGTATTGTGCAATAAACTTATTTATTTTTAGTCTTTATGGTACTCAAATTAAATAATTTTTTCGTCAGCTTTGTTTAGATATTTATTTTTGTTTAAAATATAATATTGTAATCCGCTATGTGTACTACAGAATTTAATTATAAGTTTTTACAATCATAACCCATTCGTTATACTTTATACTGTTTTTATAAATTAGTTAATATATTGTATATAAATTACTTTTCTTTTGTTATAATTCAATGCTGTAAAATATTTATCAAAAAATGATATATTATGCATTTATTGGGTAGTACCTAAATATTAATGTAGATATATATTTATATTTTAGTAGCAAATTTGCTAATGTTTTTTTTTTGTTTGTTTGTTTCTTATTTAGCAAAAGATTTTTTTTTAACATAGATGCTTTCTTTTCGCATTTTTTTTAATTTATAGATTAATATTGTTCATATTTATTAAACAAATATTTAATTAAGTACTTATCTAGTATGCCTATATTAATGTAATTATAAATATGGCTATATACTAGCCATATTTTTTTACATCATAGTTTGACTTAATAATATTAATTTGTCTAAAGTCGTTGAGGCTTTATGTAAAATTTTTATTTCAATTTTGAGATTTTATTTGAAAATAGGCAATGAAACATTTATATTAGCTATTGAAGTAATATGGCTATTCATTGAAGATTTTTTTAGATCAATTTTAACTTACATATAATTATATTTATATATATATGCCTGATATATTTATCAGTAAATNTTAAGCAGGAGAGAAGTTGAATTTATGAACCAATGTTGGTTTAAATTTTTGCGTATTTCGCTGCATGTCGATTTTTTTAAAGAATTCAAAGATTTTTTTTTTTCAAAATTATAGAAATCACTTATGTAAGGATCATTCAAAAAAAAAATTTCATATTTTTCTTATGATTATTTACTATTTGATTATTATTTTACTTAAAAACAGGTGAATAATTTTAATTTTTCTCAAATTTATATATATATATATATATATATTATATACATATTATATAAGTGAAAATTTCATAAAATTGTCAACAAAAGAATATTATGCTTATGAACATACTTTATTTGTCATTAATTAGTCAGCACACTAATTTTTAATTTTTAAAAAATGAGTTAAAATTTTGTGGATGAAAAGTGAGCATTTTAAGGTTGTTTAGATTTAAATCATAAATATTAAGAGCAACGATTTAAATTATGATTATGTTGATTTAAAAAAAAAAAAGCAATCGTTGATTTACATTATTGGAGTTACAAAGAACAATGATTAAGATAATTTGTACTGTTATTAAAAGTGTTGAAATAAAATAAGTAAAAATATAAGTTTTCTAAAGTATTAATAATAATTTGAAATCCTTGTGTACAAGCATTATAATTTTATTTTTTAGAATTTAAAAATTATTACTGTTATGAATTTTGTAAGATATTGCTGGTGTGTTGTTACGATTTAATTTAAATTCCGAATTTACAGAAAATGTATAAATACAGTCAATCAATTTTTCCTTCTTGCTACAATTGTATAATTATTAGAATTCACTGTTAAAATTAGGCTAAAATTTTCTGAAATAATCTTAAAGAGAACCTTCATTTTTTAACTTTAGATGCTTGGTATTCATTTAATAATTTAGTTTAAAAAAAACCTGATTTCTGTAAAATAAAAATCGGTACTGATTAACACCTTATTTTTAAACTAGCACCATTTTATTAAAAGCCAATCGAAAATAGCGTCATTTAATTTAGATAATCCGTAATAGTTTTTACTGTTCATGAAATTACTTTTTTCTCTTAGAAAAAGTTTCATGAAATATTTTGAATATTTTTACAAGTGCAGTTATTCATGAAATTACTTTTTTCTCCTACAAAAAGTTTCATGAAATATTTTGAGTAAGTGAATTTACAATTTATGAATACCTTATGAAACTGGTATGAGTAAATTTTATTATTATTTTTTCCATGTTATTTTCCATTCTTTTAATTTCTGTGCATTGCAAATTTTTTTTATTGGGAGCCTGAATATTTAACAATATGTTATTCTGCATACAATCCTTCTTTATTTGTTTATTTATAACTTTCTTAATGTTTAATTAATAAATTTTTATGGTTGATTATTGCTAAAATTATGCTTTGCTTACGCGAGTGAAAGGGTTTCAAAAATAATTTTCTAAGACTAATATGTAATTTAATTTATTAATTATTATCGTAGAGTTAGATATTTTTTTAACCTTATTTGTAATTATTTACAAGTCTAAAGCGGCAATCTTACAAAAATTTACGTCTAAACAAATATTGTATAAAACTCAAATTAATTCGCGAGTGAAAGCTAACTATGTGAAATTAATATATTACTGTGAATATGAAGGCAATTATTACCAATATTATAATTTGAATAACAGCTCTTAAAAATTAATTCATTTTTTATTCAACTTGGCAGCACACAAAAACGGATTATACTTTTTTCTCTGAGAAAAAGAAACGCGGTTCTCATTTTCCCCCTGTGAAACTGCTTTGCTGCAATCATAATATGTGAACAGAAAAGCGAACCTTACTGTTATTGATCTCGCCTTTTAAGAAATTTCAGCTTTTCCTTGCAATCCGATTTGCGTCAAATACTGTGTGTAAACAATAATTGTTTGACGTGAACAGTTACGATTTTCAAATCATATTAAATTACGTTAATGGGACTTAATACTGTATAAAATTTTTCCCTGTAAACGCGAATTTAATGGGAAAAATGTTTGAGATTCTTCAAGATACAATATAAGTAGTACTTGAAAAAAGTAAAAATCGATTTTCATTT